TGAGAAAACGTTAGATGAGTTGGTAAGAAAAAGATTGAAGTTTCAATTCATTACCCGCTCATATATCGTTCGGTAATTACATCTGAGTTATCTTCTGTATATATATCGTGGATTCGTGCATAGGAGGTTTACCAACCATCACGTTCAAAGTGTAACAATTAGGATCCTAAAATATAAAAAAAAATAAAATTAAGTGCAAGTGAGACTTTTGTTTGATCATTTGGAGGTTGGAGAAGCAACATCACGAGTTCGAGAGTGCGCAAAGACAGCCACGGAGCTCAACTAGTGGCCGGTGAGCCAATGAGGAATGAGCCATGCGGGAGGTGAGAGGTCAACTCAATTCTTTTCTTTAAATTTAAAAAAGAAGATATTATTACAAGTTTATTAAGATATATTAAATTAATTACGAGCCTTCCAATTCAACGGCGAGCCAAAATACCTTTGGTCGATTAATAACGCGGAGAAGGAGAAATATTTTTGTATAAAGCTTTCTATATGATATAGTTTCTAGAATTTTATTCTTATTGTTGCCTTCTTTCCTAAATTTGTATTTCAATAATTCATATATTCTTTCAGTCAAACAGTCATTTTAATAAAATACTACAGAACAATTTTATCCGTATTTCAATATAGTATTTTATATTGGCACGATATTTTCATCTATTGAAACAAAAATTTAATTTTTCCGTGGAAATTTTCATGAAATATTTTTACATTGTATAGCGCATTAATATTATATTAAAATAAACATTTGCTATGCTAAAAAGGTTAAATTGGTAATTTAAGTCATAGAGATATTTTATTAATTATGTTCTTGTAAAAACACTTTTGAAAAATATCAAAAAAAAAAAAGAAGATGGACCTTAGTTTTAGATACTTACAACTCATTGCCACAATATACCAAATATTTTGTTATATTTTTAGATAATTACTAATAAATTATGTGATTTTTCATCTAATCGAGTTTATGGATAAATGCGTCCACCAGCTGGCCTTAGACTGTCCAAAACAGATTTGCAAGTGTCAAGGTTCACTGAAATGGTACGCACTTAGTAAAAATAGTAATATTAATACTATTTTTTTTGTTTAGTTTAATTCTCACATTTGCATACGTAATTTTAATTATTGTTACAAATTCGTTCCAATTGCCGTAAAAAATGCTGTGTTTGGTCTTGAACTGTCACACACGTGGCAGATGAACGTCTCTCTCCTTTAACTAAATATTAAACAATTTGGATAAACATAAACACTATAAAAAATTCAAAATTCCATAAAAAAATACTTCAATTTGTCTAAATATAAATTACCGAACAAAAACTTTAATTTGGTTAATTTACGTAAAAAAAAATACCAATTTGATCTGTTTGAGATAAATTGATTCTATCAAATCATCGATTGGATATATATTTGGTACAAATTAATTTAAACAAATTGAGCTATTTATTTAGAAATTTTAAGTATTTATGTGATATATATAAATAAATTTGGATATTTATAAAATTTTCTTATCATCAAATATATCACAGTTCATCTATGAAACATACTCTTAACACAACATATGTATAACCCCGTTGCATCACCCAAAATAAGCATAATAAAGGCCACGAAAAAAATGTATGCATTATTATTGTTCCACTTTAACACTTTATATATATATATATATATGCATGGAAATTGAAATGAAATTGCTATCATATATTGATAGAGAATAAGAATATTATTGTGGAAAATTTTCCTCCAAATCGTTCTGAAAAAAAATCATATGAATAATGCGTTCCAATGATCAGGATGCGCCCCTCACCAAAGTCAAACGCTTTCCAATGGCTCTTTACATGTGCGCCAATAGAGATATTCCGATGGAATAGAGATCATGTGCGCTTGAAATCAAAACCGTTGGATTCAAATGAAACTCTGAGCAATTTTAAATCCGACGGTCTAGAAATAAACCGTTGGTATTCAGTGTCGTAGGCGATGAAACCCGAAAGCAGTTTGACGCCGACAAAACCGAAAAAGACGGTTAAGAAAGGATCTTAGTTAGTGTAATACCTTCATAGACCGACCGACACTTTATGTCAAAGTTAGTTCAAACATAAGCTAATGATTGTTTATTTTTTTCAATAATTAAATAATATATATATATATATATATATGAAGAGTGGGAGTGATTAAGTAGCAATTTATAGTTGCAACATGAACTGTCCAATTTATATTATTTGCGCCGACTTTTTTCGGGATTGCATGCATGACAACCCATTTACATAGCTGTGATAGTTAACTAGCCAGCGAAAATTAAAATTTTAATTACGCAGTTTGCTAATTTCTTATTTTGGTAAATCTGATTGATTAAATATATAATTATAGTTTAGGTTTATATTAACTTTATTTTAATCTTGTGAACAGCCATGGTGTTCTTCGTTATGCACGTTTTTTCCTACCATAATAAACGCATAAATAGCCAATGCACTGAATTATCAGCTATATCCTATGGTAGATAAAATATGATGGCATCTAACCATTGGTCCATTCCTTCCAAGGATCAAGGGATTACAAATTACAACGAGACTCGGAAACAAAAATCGGGTTGGGAGAACATAATATATTTATAATAATATTTTGAGATTTTTATTTCAAAATGAGTGATATTTTGATATCTTTCATGTAATTTTTAATAATTTTTACAAATTTATCTCTAATTAATAATATTTAAATGTTATATATATATATTTAAAAATAATAAGTTTTTTTATATAGTATATAAAGATATTTGGATAAATAATTATTAGTTTTAAATTTGTGTTTAAATATTAAACAATATCAAAAATGAAACGGAGAGTAACATTTATAGGCGATTATATTAATTAATTAAGTAATTGATGTAGATTTCCGTATCATTAAGTGGTCTCCCAAAATTTGTTGACTTCCCTCAAAATCTCTTGGAAATCAAACTATATATATGGCTCACCAATTTACCAAATCTTTTTCAGATTTTTTTCTGTTTGATAACGAAGGGAAAAAAATCTTTTGGATTTTGAAAATCATAGTTCTCGAATCCCCGAGGAGCCCCACTTTTCATTTTCCATACGAGAATCTGATTGATTTATTTCTGCGATTAGATCTATTATCTCTAGATTCATTTTTATGGTTTCTATATAACATGTACAAAACTATTTTTTTTAATAAGATTTGGGCCAGGGTTTATCTTTAGATTTATGGATAACTCAAAATCAAAAGATGATTTTAAAAAATTATTTATACATGGTTGTGTAACGAGTTATAGATATTAATTTTTTTATGTATTTGATCTGTGTGGTTTATAGAATTATGTTAATTTTTATTAGGTTTTTTAAACAAATTCAATAAAAATATGCCTCGATTTAGTTTTAAAATATTTAATAATTTAAAACATGGTAGAGGTTATCTGAATCATAACATTTAGAAAACGAAGAAATTTGGAAATAAAAGTTTAGAAGAAGTTGATTTACTCGATTACATTAATAATTACGATAAAAATGTAATTCCAATAATTATAATATACGAACAGATTTTTAAAAACATGCGTATATATAATTTACCTTTAACTAGGATCCATAATCCATGGCTCTCATGATCCAATAAATAATGAAAAATAGATTTTACGGAATTATTTGGAAGCAGAGGAGGAGGATGCAACTTGCATTGCATGCGTGCCACGTAGGAACATGATGTGATAAGTGGTGGCACGTGGACTCATCTCTTGTCGGAGAAAGGTCCAATTAGCAAATGCTTTGAAGTTGCATACATATATTTCATTTCATACGTACATATAGTGGATTATTTTATTTGTTACGAAGCAAAACTCCTTTCGTAATATGTTTTTTTTACGCTCGCGTAGATATCTTACCCACGTGAATTCCCGATTTCACAATTTAATTTACAAAAAAATTGAGCAATACACAAAGTGTTATATATAGCTAGGGGTGGACACGTACCCTGATTTTTAGAGATCTCGATCTCGTTTTCGTTTTCGCGGGTTTTAAAAAATAATTATTTCGTTTTCGTCTTCACGAAACCCGAGTACCCGCGATTCGGGTATCCATCACGAAACTCTAAAACTCGAAGATATCCGAACCCGCCAATTTTGTTTTAAAAAAAAAAACCGTTGATTTTTGTTGACTTTAAGGATATTTAGGTAATTTTAATTGATTTTATATTTAAATATTATTGTAAATACATTAAAATGCTAAGGATATAAATGTCATTGTATTAATTGTCGGGTACCCGCGAATTATCCGTCGGTATTTAGAAAACCTGAACCCGAATCCGTAATTCTCATTTTCGACTTCATCGCATCCGTCTTCGTCTTCGTTACTTAACGAGTACCCGCGTTTTGAGTATCTGTGAGATCGGGTATCCGAAAACCCGTGAATCTCAAATACCCGCGTCCCTAGTGGGAGACACATGTTTCACGAGACGGTCCAATGATGTTGTTAGTCCTCTCTATAACAATTAATTGTTGCCCTAAATGCATAGGCACTCAGTCGCTCAACTGGTCAGTAAATGACATGGATTTATCGCAGAGACACTCCAATACAACACGACCAAAAGCTAAAGTGAAGTCAATGATATCTTCTAACATTTGATACAATATTATTACAATACATGTATACGATATTTTAAGTGACCAAAGCATGAAGAACTTGAAGCCAAAAAGCAATTATTCACTTGTAAATATTTTATTATGTGAGCGTTGTTGATAAATTTTTACATTATACTTATATGGATCTATGAACTTCCCATATATATGGAGCAAAGAGCAAAACAAAATATATGCATATATAAAAACAAATAAAAAGTGTACGCCAGAGAGAGAGAGAGAGAGAGAGAGAGAGAGAGAGAGAGAGAGAGAGAGAGAGAGAGAGCACTAAAACCAAACAAAGCTTATCCAACTCATAGCCAGATTCATGAATCTCATATACCCTCTCTCACCTATAAATACCCCGACCCCTCTCCCTCCATCTTCCTACCACCACACACACGTAGAGAGACTGAGAAGAGAGAGCTCAGCCTCCATAATTACCATAAAGCCACTCTTCAATCCCATAAAAAAAAATCACCAAAATGCCATCGCTCCATCACCCAGTCACCGTCATCTCCAGATGCACCGTCGTCCCCCACCAGAAGTCAACCCTCGTTGACCTGAAACTCTCCGTCTCCGACCTCCCCATGCTCTCCTGCCACTACATCCAGAAGGGTTGCCTCTTCACGCGCCACCACACTGTTCCACTCCACGCGCTCCTCCCCCACCTCAAGCGCTCCCTCTCCGTCGCCCTCTCCCGTTTCCCTCCACTCGCCGGCCGCCTCTCCACCGACTCCCACGGCCACGTCTTTTCCGTTTCCGACGATTCCGGCGCTGATTTCTTCTTCGCCGAGGCTAGGTCGGTGCACGTGCGTGACGTAATCGGAGGAATCGACGTCCCTGAGGTCGTGAAAGGGTTTTTCTCCTTTGACGGGGCTGTGAGCTACGAAGGCCATTACAGGCCGATCCTGGCCGTTCAGGTGACAGAGTTAGCTGACGGCGTCTTCATCGGTTGCTCTGTCAATCACTCCATCACCGACGGTACGTCGTTCTGGAATTTCTTCAACACGTTCGCGGAGGTCTCGAGAGCGGGAATGAAGATAGTGACACGTCAGCCAGATTTTACGCGGGAGTCAGTGCTAATCTCACAAGCTGTGCTTAAAGTCCCACCAGGTGGGCCCAAGGTCACCTTCAACGTTAACGAACCGTTACGGGAACGGATTTTCAGTTTCAGCAGAGAAGCGATAACGGAGCTTAAAGCGACGGTAAACAGTTACAACAAGAAAAAACTAACCAGGGGTAACGGTGACATAGACGGGGCTGAGTTGATGGGGAAACAGAGCAACGACAAGCTTAACGGAAAAGATAACGCCAAACTGACGGAGATGTTAGAGTCTCTGTTCGCGAGAGACGACGTCGTTTCGGTCGTCGAAAAGAAGATCTTCTCGTCGTTTCAGTCTCTGTGTGCTCTGCTATGGCGAGCGATCACTCGAGCGAGGAAGCTTCCAAGCTCGAAAACGACGACGTTTCGAATGGCGGTGAACTGCCGTCAACGGCTGAGCCCGAAGCTGAATCCGTACTACTTCGGCAACGCGATACAGAGCATCCCGACTTACGCGGCGGCGGGAGAGGTCCTGTCGCGGGATCTCCGGTGGTGCGCGGAGGAGCTGAATAGGAGCGTGACGGCGCACGACGACGGAAAGATCCGGAGCGTGGTGAAGGAGTGGGAGGAGAATCCGAGGTGTTTCCCGCTGGGAAACTTCGACGGAGCTTCGATCACGATTGGATCGTCTCCGAGGTTTCCGATGTACGACAACGATTTCGGGTGGGGGAGGCCGGTGGCTGTACGAAGCGGGAGGGCGAACAAGTTCGACGGGAAGATATCGGCGTTCCCTGGGAGGGAAGGGAGTGGGAGCGTGGATCTGGAGGTGATATTGTCGCCGGAAACAATGGCGGCCGTCGAGTCCGATCGAGAGTTTATGAGATACGTGTCGAAGAAGTAATGGTTTCGTGGTGGCAGTCGTACGGTGACGGCGTCGCGTCGGAATGTAAAAAAAATGAGTGTACGGTTTACAGAAAAATGTGCTTCTACTTAATTATAAATAAAAGCTAAAAACATATTTAATAACCTTAATTACTGTGTGTGAATGTTAATGTGTTTGATTTGTTGCCAAAACATTAAAAAAAAAAAAATCGAATATACGGTTTATCATTCGACCCTGATTGCTAAAACTGAAATTAAAAAAAGGAAAATTATGAAACAGGATTCATGACACTGCTTCATTAAAATAACCATAAAAAAAAAGGGGAAGAAGAAGAGGAAGAAGACGAAGAGTCCATTGAATCAAAAAGCATGGAGAGTGTCCAATACGACGAGAGCAAAAGACAATCCGATGAATCCCTTAGGAACAACTGTTCCGTTTTCCATTCTGAAAAGCTTCGCCACTTTCGAGATCTCGCCGGCACTTCCGAGATTCTCCGGCAACGGAATCTTCGCCCTCCCGACCACGGTGATGCCGTCCGATGTGCCTGGGTCTCTCCACGACATCCCTCTCACCAGCTCCAGGTTCAGATTCAGATTCTTCAGCGGAGATTCCACCGGAATAAATACTCTCTCGTCGAACGCGGGATCTCCGAAGGTTTTGGCCGTCGATGTTTTGTACTGCCTCATGGGGTCGATCCAGACCAAGGTAGTGTAGAGGTTTCTGCCTCCGGAGGGATACGCCGGAGCTCCGTCGCTTACTCCAGCTGTCCGGAAGATATTCACGACTAAGTATGTCGTCCCCTCCGGTGGATTTTGCCGGAGAAGGAGTTGCTGCTGCTGTTGCTGCAGTTTCTGCTGCTGTTGTCTCTCAGTCATCTCCGGTCGGGTCTCTTTGTTTGTTTGCTGCGCAAGGAAAAAGCGCGGTGAACAATGGTGAATTAGGGTTTCTGCGGTGGGTGAAATCTGGTTTTGATATTTATGGATTTTGTTGAAGGGTTTGAGGGGTTTAACTTTAAGAGATGAGAACGAGAATTTGATGAGGGGTAATTTAATTCTGGGTAAATAACGTTTTCCGAATTGGAAATTGTACAGTTTTTATGCGGAGAGTCACAAACGAAAAAAGGAAAGAAAAAAATACTTTGAACTCCCAATTTTTTTTGGTTAATTAGATAAATAGTGGATATAAATTACAACTGTTAAAAAATATAATTATTTAGAAAATAGTTGAATTTACATTTGATAGATTACGGAATTTTAAACATTAAATTTAGACTATAATGTATTCTGTTAATATCTTTCTTTAGGTGAACAAAATCTTAGGTAAAATTTTGCTAGTAACTTTCTTTTCACAAATTTAAAGTTTAAGAGGAATTAAAGAAAACTAATTTCAATGATTAGGATGGGTTTTATGGGATTTGCATAACCATATATTTAATCTTATCACATGAGCTTGCAATTATCCAACGTAATATAAAATAGACAAGAATTAATGAAAACAAAAGAAAGTTTTTTTTTAGCGAAGAGGGAGTGTTTGAGTTTCGCTGCAAAATCAAAAACCTAATTTCGGAAGAATTCTACAGAGTCTTACATACCATAATAATAGCCAATTTGAAAAAAAAAAAATTTGGATTCATTAGTATTTCATTGGCATTAAAAATCTTTAATTTTTTAAATTTATTTTTAAATCGTATTTGGGAGGGATCAATTATACCTTAGATTATACCCAAAGTCAAAGCAAAAAGTTCTGGTAAAATCCACATGCTCGAACTTAATCACATAATAATTTTAGTTAATTAGGATTTTTTTTAGAAATTGTGGTAAAATTTGTGGTGCGGAGGGATTTGAAACCCATCAGCCTTATCCAAATCTAAATGGGCCTTTTATGTTTGGGCTTAGACCCGTTTTGGTTCCGGTCCAATTCATAATGGAAACGGTGAAGTATATCATTTTGATATGAAAAAAAAAAAGAATACACTGATACCATAAATGCGGAGAGGGATAGCATATACTTAGACTACAATAAATTCATGTTTAAAATAGGTATCATCTTTTTATTATTATTATTAGTAGATCGATTTTGATTCCAATTCCTCGAAAAACATTTAATGTTGATAGATTTAGTTGAATCACGAGTAAAACTTGTTCAATTGCTACTAATATTCATAAGAAAAAAAATTGTATTGACTTTGTGTTGTATATTACTTTCTAATGGCTATACATAATTATAAAAAATATATCTAAAAAGTTTTTTTTTTTTTTATTAATATAAAAAATAAAAAGTACTAATTTAATTTTATGCACAAATGTGCCGCATTATTTATTTCGATATTTAAAAGGACATTAGCATAGGAGGTGAACACACGCAATTCAAGAAAAGGCCATCCCCCAGCTTGATATTTTTATTTTCCTTTCAGCGAGGGTAAGCCCCCGTAATATCATTCTTCAATAGGGGCATAACAGTCAATACGGCAAAGCTCTACGTCAATTTGCTTTTTCTTCAAACTAACATCCGAAAGAGAAGAAGAAAAGGAGTTATTGCAAAAACATGGGAAGAAGAGAGGCTCGTGAACAGACGCCATCGACCGCCTAAGCTCCACCGTCGTCAGCTTTCTCTGTCGTTCTGGCTTGTCTGTTATTCTTCAACCAGAGGAATTTTGGATCTCTGTGTTTTTTGTTTTTGTTTCAGCTCCTCGATTCTGATTTTCTCGGGAAATTTCATTCTATTCGCCTCCTCTTCTTGTCGGAGTAAGTGTCGGAAACCATGTCGGACGCTCTGATCAATGGATTGGCCGGAGCTGGCGGAGGCATCATTGCTCAGCTCCTCACTTATCCTCTCCAAACTGTACGGTTCCTCGCGCGCGCCCGTTTCCCCCTTTTTTTCCTGGTTAGTTTTCTCCGCATATGAAATGTTTATGATACAACTGTTGTTTGTTTGTGATCGTGAAATAGGTAAATACGCGCCAACAGACGGATAGGGATCCGAAGAAGGAGAAGAGGAAACTCGGTACTGTTGAACACATGTGCCAGGTTCTTGTGTTTTTCTCCTGGAATTTTCGTGATTCATATCTCTAATTACTCGCCGAATCTAGTTAGAATAGTGGAATCTATATTCTTTGTTGTGGTTTCGATTGTTCTCTCGCTGAAATTATAAATTTGATCGGCCTGACTAGTTTTGAAACTGGTGGATTGATGCCATCGCTGAAATTGTCTGTGTTGAAGGTTGTAAAACAAGAGGGGTGGGAGCGATTATATGGTGGATTGATGCCATCTCTCGTGGGAACGGCAGCTTCGCAGGTATAATCTTCGAATAACCTGTCAACCTCTACAATGTGATGTACTGAATTGGGGATGAACATAGTTACCTTGTGAGCTCATTTTCTTGTCTTTTTTTGTCCGTCATGTTCCTGCATCTTCCATGACACAGGGTGTCTACTACTACTTTTACCAAGTGTTCCGGAACCAGGCTGAAGCTGCTGCACTTCAGCTGAAGAAGAAAGGATTAGGCGATGGATCGGTTGGGATGCTCTCTTCACTTTTAGTTGCTGCTCTAGCCGGGTAGATTGGCTGTCTTTATGACCTTAGCTCTTTAATTTCCTTCTGGACGTATTCACATTTAAAACATAACCTTATGATTAGGAGCTAGGTGTGTTGGTTCTTCGGATGTTTGACAAATTAGGTTTTTGGAGATAATGAGTAGTTACAGCTTTTTTACGTTGTCGCTAGTTAATGTCTATGAATTTTTTTCCCTATTTCTTTTTCGGTTGAAATCTACTTTACACTAAATATAAGATTTGGTGGAATGATAACTCAGTACGATTTATCTTTGCATTTGTCTCGGTTTAGCATTTGGTTTTATTGCTTCTGCTGTTTCATATGAAGTATGCCAGTTCTTTCTCCTTGCAGATCGGCAAACGTGCTCATGACAACTCCCATATGGGTGGTTGTTACGCGCATGCAGGTATAAACTTCTTGATATATACTGAGTAATGGTATTTAGAAAACTTCCAAGCTAGTTGTTTCTGTATGTACTGCATCTTATCTCCACGTTGTTTCCATTCTTTTCTCCCCTTCATACAGAGTTTCAATGTTCTTCAACATTTGAATGGCAGTACACTTTTGCATTTTATCATTTTTTTCCGAGTTTGTTTCCGTTGTGTAACTCATCCAACCCTGATTCTTTCCCGAGTTTCATTGTGTGTTGCTCTCGATTGCAGACGCACAGAAAAGTGTCAAAAGAACAACAAATTCTGTCTATGTCACCTTCTTCCGAAGGAAAGGCTCTTGCTGCAGCAGACCCACGTCCATTTGGGACCTTTAATGCAGTAAGATGCGGTCCCTATATATGTTTTGTGTGTGTGTGTGTGTGCACGTGTGTGCACGTGTGTGTATTGCACCGATGCTGTTTTACATTTAGAAACCAGAACTATTGGCGTAGGGTCTTTGCTGCTAAAATGCTTGATGATGCTTGTATTACGAGTTAATTGTCCAAGTCAACATCTTCACCCACAATTATAATTTTCTTAGATACAAGTGTTCATGATCTTGAAACTAAGTTCAAAATGTATGTCCTTGACATAGAGGCAGATGCAGTAACATGTTAATTATCATATGTCTTAGATTCAAGAGGTGTACGATGAAGCTGGGGTTACTGGCTTCTGGAAAGGTGTAATTCCAACATTGATAATGGTACGTGAGAAGTTTATCGTATATTTTCCTGGGGACATTTGCTGGCTAAATGATGTTACATCCACAGGTTAGCAATCCATCAATACAGTTTATGTTGTATGAGACAATGTTGACAAAGCTGAAGAAAAAGCGGGCCTCCAAGGGTAGCAACAGTGTAACTGCGTTAGAGGTCAGATTTTATTTCAACTCGATTCATATTATTCCGTGATTTTCTTTTTGTTGGTTGGTGCTTTAATCACCCGCATCATGTGTTTCTTATAGGTATTTCTACTAGGGGCTCTTGCCAAACTGGGAGCTACGGTCGTAACTTATCCTCTATTGGTGGTAAAGGTAAGTGTCCATCCATTAAGATCAGAAATTTCCGGTTTTCTTAACTAGCATGTTTTAAGATTCTTTGCGAAGTTCACAAAACGTAATCACATCAATATATTGATTAAAAAGACAGACATATGCTGAAATTTTTGCTGCATCAAGATGAACCTTCGACTCTTTTTAATCATAACTTCTATGCTGGTATGTATACAGTCGAGGCTTCAAGCCAAACAGGTGACAACAGGGGACAAAAGACATCAGTACAAAGGTCCAGAGACTGTCCTTTGAGACCAAATCAAAACACAAGCTCAATCTCTGTGTTCCTATATCTTTGGAACTGACAAACCCAAGGTTTGTGCTTCCAAATGCTGCAGGGACGGTGGATGCGATCCTGAAGATGATCCGATACGAAGGGCCTTACGGGTTTTACAAAGGGATGAGCACGAAGATCGTGCAGAGCGTTTTGGCGGCTGCCGTTCTGTTCATGATCAAGGAAGAGCTCGTGAAAGGGGCCTTGCTGTCCAAACGGAAGAAGATCTAGCCAAAAAAAAAGTTAAGTCCTACGTACTAGCCATATTCTGATCCTTTGAACTGATAGATTCAAAAACCGAAATCTCATCTACGTTATTATAGAAAGATTGAAAATAATAAAGACGAACTTTAAATGGTCAATTTTTTTTTTTTTCTCAAAATGAATCTGTTTGCATAATCGTGTATTCGTGGGATCTTGTTTGATCTATTTGTCAGGATTCATGGATTTGAGATGTGTTATATTAGATCAGATCACTGGCAAAATGAAGTATTTATTCTGTTTTGTTTTTATATTTTATATTTTGGTATTCTTGTATATAAAAATCTTTTTCTTGTTAAAAGTGAACGTCTTATATTTCACAAGGCGATAGGCTGTAATTATCTTTTGACGGGGAAGAAAAATCTGTGCACATGGGAAAGGAAAAAGAAATTACCAAATTTTGGGAGGCAATTATTTTTAACATACACCTTCTTCTCTGGTTAAAATTAAGGATGGATATTTTAGATTTGTTCAATTCGTTATAGAAACCTTATAATCATTCGATTTTTTCTATTCAATTCAATTTTGTATTAGTTTGGTTCAGTTTAAATATGGTTATTTTAGTTTAGAGAAATCATATCTATTCGATTTTTATTTTGGATTCAAATAGAGTGTGATTACTTTTTATTGGCTCCGAATCGGTTGGATTATCGATTATTAAGTTGACCATGCCTCTTTAAAAATATAAAGAATAAACCAAATTTACTTTTCCAAATGCAATGTTTGCAAATTCGTTGGTTCTTTTTATTTATATACTATTTCCCATTGGTAAAATTAATAAATCTCATGGAAAAAACGAAAGAAGAGAAAATTCTTTTGTTTTCCGAAACGATGTCGTATCTGACCGGGACCTTCCAATAGACCATCGGGACCAGGAAAACAGTCTTTCGTTGGACTCCTGCGCTCGTGAATACCTCCGCTTCGTCTTCGGGAGCTGAAGGATTTTGCAGAACCCTAGAGATCTGGTCCCTTTTTCATACTCTTTTATCGCTTGATCGGATCTGTCCGCCATGGAAGAGAAGAAGTCAGAATTGGCCAACAGAAACCCTAAGAAAGCCAACCTTTTGGACCATCACTCCATCAAGCACATCCTCGACGAGTCCATCTCCGATGTACGGCATGCCTCATTTCCTTTTCCCGTGTTCTTCAGACCCTCCAATCTGCGATTCCTTCTCTGTATTCGTGTATTTTCTTATGCTTCTCTTTTTTGTTTGCCTCGTAGATCGTCACGAGCCGTGGGTACAAGGAGGATGCGAGGTTAAGCAATGTTAAGCTGCTTTTAGGGACGATAATCATCGTGGTTGCCCTTGTTGCTCAGTTCTACAAGAAGAAGTTCCCCGAGAACAGGGACTTTTTGATTGGTTGCATCGTATTATATCCTTTTTCCTTTTGTTCCTTTGATTTCGTATTAGGTTATTCGTGTTGGGTTTTCGAATTCGAGGAAGTAATGTTGAAATCCCCAAGAATTAGTGTTTCCATGGCTATGATAGAAATCGGCGATAATGGATTAGGAACTTTTCATTTTTTTTTTAAGCAAATGAGATCACTCATCACTGCCGTGGTTACACTAAGTTTGAGAAACTTGAAACTCTATAGTGCCATCGGGCAAGCTGCTTCATGGGAAATTTGTATTGTAATTCTTGCCTATGAAAGTTATCAAATTTCTCGGTATCGAACAAAATGTTGGATGTGTTTGATTTCTTGACTATGGCAAGTATGTGGTGCTGAACGCTGTGTTGCAGCTGATTCTGTACACAAAGGAGAAGAATGCAATATTGTTCACCTATCCTCCCGAGGTTAGTTCCCTATCTTGGTTGAGGAAAAAAAATTGTCTTTGAGGTTCCTTTGATATGCCTGAATCAGTAGTGTTCTTCGTTTCAATTGATAAGAACTCAGTAGCGAATCTGTAGCAAATCGATGAACAACACTCTTTATTGACCAACAAAGAACATGACTTGAAGACTTGCTTAATGAGAGGTCTTCTCTCTCAACCCAAATCCTAACGTTTTCCCAAAATTCTGCTTAATCCCTCTCCCAACTATTACAACTATTTATACTGCAATGCAAACATACACAGACGCATAACCCGATCTTCAGCTCTGAATTCTCCTTTACGTATACTCTGAATGCCTTATCACAATCCTTTATTGGTCTATCGATTAAAGATTGTATTTGTGTTTTTGCTGTGAAATGAAATGTACGGTTCATCCAATCTGAACAGCTAATTGCTGCCATTTCCTAATTTTTTTTTTCTTTCACCTTGTTCAGTGATGTTTAAACGGCCAAATCATGCTTCTCCATTATGTTTCTTTGTTCCGTTTAATTGCTAGCGCAAATGCACGTTGAGAGTACACAAAAGTGACAAACTGCTGTTAGAAACATGGGTTGATAGTAACAATTGGGTAGCTAAAGCTAGATCTTGATTTTGCTTTGTCTATTTTTTACCTTCTGTTTTGTAAAGGGTTCGAATTGTGCATTGCAAATACTGGATTTGTGTTGTGGTGATGCATGGTACAAATCATCCTGTTTTAGTACTTTTGTTTGTGCTTTTTGTTCTGCATTTGATTTCATACCCAGCTATTAGTTGCATCTGATTTGGGACATTCAAGTCTTGAATCTCTTGATGATACTTTGGCTTTGGCAATTCTTATTCCTTGCTGATGTTTGTGATTTGTTTTGTCTGTCCTTTGAAATATATCTAATGCTTTTATATGTTTGTGATCACTTACCATAACATGGATGAGTTTTCTTCTCACCCTGTTGAGTGAGATGTATGTATGTTTTCACCATCTTGAAGAAGTTATCCTTACCTAAAAGAAAGCCTCAATTTCTGCGTAGACTGTGCAACCATTGCCGAAATCATTTCAGCTTCAATAATTTTGAATAACGCTCTTTGTGTCAGGGACTTAGCAAACATATTGATTATGATCTCCTCTTTGGTATTCTGTTTGTTTGAGATCAGATGTGCTTGTATTTATCTTGTGTTAGCTTGTCTTTTTTCTTTTTCGGGTGTAAATCAAGAGTCGTAGTAGCTGGTAATTTCGGGTTACTGTTTGCATTTGTTTTGGTGAAGGGATCATTCACAAGCACAGGTTTGGTGGTGTCCTCCAAGTTGCCCAGATTCTCCGACCAGTACACTCTCTCCATTGCCAGTGCTGATCCCAATTCCATTTCCGCTGGCAAGCCTGTTCACCTCACCAAAACTGTCACCCAATGGTCTCTCTCTCTCTCTCTCTCTCTCTCTCTTCCTGGTAGGAATATTTGCAGTTATCTGAGTGAAATGATGTCACAGGTTCACAAAAGATGGAGTACTGGTCGAGGGGTTATTGTGGAAGGACGTGGAGGCACTAATGGAGGAGTACGCTGGAGAGAAGAAGAAGAAGAAATGAACTTGTTTGAAAGAGTTAGTATTATTTACTTTCAGATACTAAAAAGTACAAAAAAAAATTGAAATGAGGCAGTGACCCTTTGGAGAATGATTACAGATATACATTATTAAATCCGTTTTAGGAGTGATTTTTATTTTGAGTTTTTGGTTTTTAATTTTTAATTTTTTTTAATATTTATAAATCCAAAAAATAGAGTTTTCGGGTTTTAGGTGGTTTTTTATTTAGCTTTGTGGGGGTTTTAAAAAAACTAAATTTATAAAAATTTGATTGATTTTTTTTTTTTAGTTTTTGGAATTCAAAAACTCTTAACAAAACTCCCCCATTCAACATTTAGTTTTTTTTTTAATCTAGTGATGCGTGGGAGCATGCAACTCATTCACTATAATTCAGAACACGACAATAAATAAGCAAATTACGTAGTGTTTTTTTGGAATTATCCGGGTGTTAGTATTGCGAATTTTATGTTTGTTTTTTCAAACAAACGATTGTTGCAAATTCCACTATAGAGGTTGAGTATATAGTCGCGTCGTACGCAACAACGATCCAAACATATATTCAGACGATTTCACTTTATAAGAGAAATCATAGACAGATGAGACTTAATATATGCAGAGTATCGACAGATGATAATATTGTTGTTACTTGGACGAAACTACTTCCATCGTCAAAGCATGATAGTCATGTGAGAGCTATGGGCATTAGATGGCTTGTTGATAACATGCAATATGCTATAGATTTTTATATCATTCGTCCGACATATTTACTTGGTTTTATGCCTTTTGAGATGTTTAAGTGCATGTTTAGTTTCGGTTACACTCGGTTGATTGATGGTTGCAGGTACGAATGATAGGAGCGGAAAAAGAGCGAAAAAACCCAAAGAAAACGAGTTTCAAAGATTAACCCAATCGTGTCACATCTCATCAACACGATCAGGTCACTTCATCGAGAAAATCAAGAATGTTTCAAGGGTTAACCCGATCTGTCGCCTCCTACCAACGATGGGGTCACTTCGCATAAAACCGGAGCTTAGTACAGAAGAATGGCACGATCGTGTCACCTATGACTCACACGATCGTGCTACTTAGGGGACTTCGAAAATATTTCCAATTTTTGTCCAGAAGAAAGAGAAAATAAATAGGGTTAGCCTGCAGATCGATAATTATGGAGACTTTGACAGAAAATAGACCTAGAACACACAAAAGAGAGTGATTATCGAGAGGCAAGAGATAAAAGTAGAAGACGGAGATTACGAAACCGGGAAATCGACTAAGCATTCTTCCTTTCTTATACTTTACGTTGTTTTGTATTATTTATATAAACCCTAACTTCTTGATATTTAGCGAGTAGTTCCTTTCCTGTGTGTTATGGATTTGCTATGTAGGGATATTTGGTTTTTAATTTTATATTTTGTGGATTTATTTATTATATTCAATTTATTAAATTGTTCTTAATGCGTTTGATCTTGTTGCTCACTTAATTGAATGAACTTAGAGTTTTAATTTGCATAGATATATAAGATTTTAATCTGAAAATAATTCAATAAATAGAACAAGTATTGCATCGAGAGATGAATATTTGCTTAGGGATTATGATAGCGTCCGCCCATATATCCATAGATCTTTACATGTAAAGCAATCCTGAAACCACCAGTGTTTATCATTCATAGTTTACAACCATTTTTATTGTTCGTTTTCTAGACCTTGATTTGGATTTGATTTCTTTATCTACTTTTGTCCATGTGTTCGACCCTAGCTACTACACATGATCGTATTTGCGGTATTTGTTGAGTCTAAGATATTATTACTTGATCATATTTCTACACCTAGATTTGCGGCATCACTTGTAGAACATAATTAGAGCAAGTGGGAGATTGTTGGTTTAGATACTCTATGTTGCTTTACGATATGAGTACTGATATATTTTGTATTAATAGATTCATGATTTTGGTTAAGTGAATGAATATTTTTTTTCTTTATTCGTTTTGCATGTTTGATGAATAAAGAAATCTATGGTTTGTTATAAATGGACCTAAACTCTCTAGTCGTGTATTATTGTGGGAATGATAATATAATAAGACTAGCATAAGGTGTGATAGTTGATTATACAGATGATCAAGTGTGTATTGGATGCATATCACAGTCATGAGTACTGATTTGGAATGAAGTAATGGATGACCCGTATGAAATTGTCTCATGGATATACTACAAAAAAATGCCAAATTCCAACGGATTTTTCCAATGGATATATCCGTTGGAATATTTCCAACAGATTTCCAATGGGCAGCCGTTGGCAATATTCCAACGGATTCCAACGGCATATCAACGGATATCAGCGTTGGACATTTCCCACGCATATTATGACGGGAGATCCGTTGGAATAATCCGAACGTTATCAAACACGGGAAAGATTCCAATGGACATCTGTTAGAATATTTAACGGTCGACGAAATTCAACGGATTTCTAACCGATGTCCGTTGGAATGTTCGTCTATTTAAATCATCCGACCATTTTTCTCCCAAACCACTCTCTAAATCATTCTTCTACTATCCTTACACCAAGAATTCTCCCAAAAATGGCTTCTTCAACAAATTCGAATAGTCGTTCATCCCGACAGTGGATATATGAAAGAGTTTATCCGATTACAAAAGAGGTAACGCAAGAATTCATTACCGGTCTGGAACAATTTATGAATTTTGGTTCCACGCAACCTTTGTGCCAAGAACGTGGAAAAATGCTATGTCTATGTATAAGTTGTCGCAATTTTAAATATCGCAGTCAAGAAGATGTTTGTAAACATCTATTTCGAAGGGGATTTGTCGAAGACTATTACATTTGGCGATTTCATGGAGAAGAAGTTCGGACAATCACAGTAACGGGACAACATGTGTCGGCCAATCAGATGTATGATGTAGATGAAGTTATAAGAAATCCTTATGTTGAAATGGTGACATATGCTTTTCCTGGGGCATTGGTTGATCAAAACTCATCACAAGAGGAGGAGCCAAACGTAAAAACAAAACAGTTTTTCGACATGTTGCATATGGAAAATCATTTTATCTATGAAGGATGTAAAGAAGGTCAGTCTCGTTTATCTCTCGCATCAAGATTGATGAGTATAAAAACGGATTACAATATCACCGAAAGTTGCATGGATGTTGATGTCGATCTAGGCTGTGATCTAATCTCGTTTTATTTTCCTAGATTCAACTACCGCAAGTGCATGGGTCAATCGCAGTATCTAGGGTCGAACACAGGGACACATGGACATTAATAATACAATTACGGGTTCTACTCGGTTTCGGTCGGGACGATAATTTTGAGTGGTGATGATGGTGATTATAAAATGATGAAAATGCAGATAGTGGTTTCAAGACAATTTAAGTAAAACATTGCAGGTTTCGGAATTTACGGGTTGGTAAGGATCGTTTCTACAGATTTATCTCAGTGACTATGATTGTGATATGGGGAATTCAAACTCTTTCTATAGAGGAGATTACTCTCTCGAGTCTCTCTCTTCACTTCCTATGAGTTCTAAACTACCGACCTCTCGGTTCTAAATAGAATAAAACTCCTAAGAGCATTAAGTTTACTATCATAATTCCTAATTGATATGACCATCTCTCGATACGAAAATCACCTAAACGAATGAATGGTTTCCGGATTCAAATTTTATATCTCTATGTAAATTTAAATCCTAGAATTTACAAATCAAGTGGCCAGCAAGAATTGCAATATTAAAATTCACTCATTCAAACCAAATCACAAAATTCATAATTAACGAGAAATATTAAATACACATAATCCTTACAAACCCATAAATTCCTAACCCACAATAAGAAAGACTACTCACAAAACATGGTAAATACAGGAATAACCACAACAATTAAACGGAAATTCATAAATAAATAAATAAAAAGAGGGATAAGAAATGCTCAGAAATATTTGCAGCATCTTCTTCCAATCTGAAACAAAGGGCTTGCGTCCTTACTCTCTCTCTATTACTCCTCTGCGTATTTCGCTCTCTCCTAATCTCTTTGTAACTCCCTTTTTCCCCCGCTGTCCTCCTCCGTCTTGTGCTTCTCCATTTAAAGAGTGATAAAAATGAGTACATGTAATCAATCACGAAAAGGAGCGGATGTTGCGGCTAATTTGGATCCCATCATGTCTTCTTCTTTTTGCTTACTCCTTTTTTTCTTTATGATATACATGCAGGTTGTCTTATCTTGTCTCTTGCATTTCTTGTCTCCTACATATGCATTATATATTATATATATATGTATATATTATACATATATGCGTACACACATTTATATATTAATTAGTACGCATGCATACGACATATATTTACACATATCACATATGCTTATATACTATATATGTATATATGTATTCATACTATATGTAATTATATGCATAATAAATATACAAAGATACGCATGCATAAACATACATACATATGTTATGTATCTATACACACACTAATACCTATGCATACACATTTGTATATATGTATATATTAATGCACATTACACATATATGTGTATTTATATATTTATTAATACATATGCATGATATACGTATATACGACTTATATATATACATGCGTTACTTTATGCATACTATATAATTATATACAAATACACATATCCATATGTACATATACATATATTTATATATGATTGCATAATATAAATATATATTAATATATAAGCATACACGGTCATATATATATATGTATATATTAATACATATGTATACTATACTTATATTATATATGCACGCATCATGTATTTATACATATATAATTATATTATATCTATATATGTCGTATTGTATATATATACATATATACTCATATCATATATATATTTATTAATACACATGATAATATATACACACACGCATGCAAACTATATACATATAATTATATGTGTACACAAATATATATGAGCGCGTTCGTACTATATATATTTATATATAATTCATACAAACGCTTCAATCCGTACGATACCGGCATATGGAACATCTTTTTATACGGAGTTTGTCTCTATACATTCTTACTCAGACGGTATCTTTTAGCCCCACAGAATTTCTACTTAATCAATTCTTTTTATTCACCCCAATAGAACATGCAACCAT